GCTCTGCAGGACCAGGCTTTAACATCCCTGGTCTAGGATATTCTATGTCTGATTCATTTGGTATAGAATCCTCTGCTTTCGTAACCCCTATATTTGTCTCATCAGCATCGTCATTGAGTAAAATAATTTGATGCGCAATATTTTCTGTCATCTCCAGGGTTTGTAAAATTGGTTCCCTTTTATCCTCATTAGGCAACAAATGTTCTTGAACAATTTTCATTCCAGGGTCAATGCCTTCAAGTAAAGAAGGGCTCTCAGGTGCAAATCCCTCCAAGAGAGCATCTGTGACAGCAAATTTAGGAGTCATAGTAGTTGGATTAGTAGCCAAAGATGATTTATTCTTCAGACTTAACTGATCAGATTCAGAGAAAGATAAGACCATTTGCTGATCTAAATAAGGATCCTGACTATTAGGGGATGAAATTGATTTAGAGGCTTTTCCTATAGGTCGATGTAGCTCCTCTTTTTGTCTTACGTTAGATACCTCTGTGAGGCGGTCGCTTTGTAAACCATCAATGGAGCAATCTAAATTAAGTTCATCATAGTTAGAGTCTCCATGTATCGGAAATGAGCGTTTGGAATCGAATCCTAAAGAATCTAAAGGAGTCCGATCATCATCAAGTTCTAAATGGCTGCTGAGCGAATCATCCAGGCAAGCCTGAGCCTGATTAACTTCATCAGCCTTGATGAAAGGTGTATCAGTAACCGTGGCCGACATTACTTGAATGCAGCCGTGTATGATTCAGAGATGGATCTCATTTCTGAAATGCAAGAAGCACGAAGTGCAACTTCATTTGTAGCCTAGAGTAAAAAAAATATATTAGATTGGCATCAAATAATTTCAGAAGAATAATTTATCAAAGATACAGCTATAAATCCAAAATATGGTGAGCAAATCAAGTTTCTGGGTTGATAACAGGCCTCGAGCAACAAGGACGAATAGGAGAACAACGCCACAGTAGGTGTAGAAATTGTGACCGCCAGCCAATACAAAAATGAGATATAGGTATAAATTTTTAAAGCATGAGTAGACGAAGAGGAAATATAAGTAGTTGGTATGTGAAATGATAAAAATACCCTGGCAACCGAAATGAAAATGTTGCAATGTGATAAAGGAAATAAAGGATAAAGAAATAAGAAAACCTGGAGATGGTAGATACTGGCAGAGAATGGGACTCAAAACCTCGGATGAGGCCCATCAATGGGTGTGAGAAATCACGCGAAGGTATAAAGGTTGAGTAAATATTAACTGGGCCAAATAGGTGATAGATGTATATGTCTCAGCGAATGCTTTCAGTCTGATGAAAGAGTTGTTGATTAGTTTGAAGAAGGGAATGGTTCATTACGATGAGGGGTGCCATATAGGGAAAGTAGATGCGGCGGAGCTCGGCCAAGATTCATTCCTAGCTATAGCTGTTTACACGATCATTAAAAGGGCACAAAATGGAGCACGTAATGGGGATATCTAATTATAGAGTAGCATTGTAAACTATTAATCAAAACCTAATATCATGCACCTCATTACCCATATACCTTCGCCCCAAGGTGCCTTCGAATACATTCCACACCTTTGGTAAACTTGGATGAGATCGTTAAAATGCCAAAAAATGTGTATTCGGTAATTACAAATCCCATCAAAAAGCTAGCGAGCAATGGAAAATCGTTGGGCAAT